AGGCGGGGGGTGACTCGGCGTTTCGGCAACAGACCGACCTAACGAGGGCTGTGGATCCAAACCACGGCTCGGAACCCAGAACGGTATTTCCTGCTCCGCCGCCTCGCTCTGCGCAAACCGCTCCTGCCTTTGGGTTCTGTCCCAGTGCCGGGCGAACGCTGCTGGAGGGGACTCACATCAGCGCTCCTCTGGCTTCTTGGGGACGCAGCCAGTGCCAACAGGTTGGGTAGTGTCAAACGGGGAGCTGGAAGGAAGCACGATAGGCTCTTCTTATCAGTGGACGTCCACGCTTGAGATCTCGTTGCTTCTTGGTGTACAGTAAGTGTGCGCTCACTGATGGGCTTGCAAAAGTACCTCTTCTGGCGTTGGCCATCCTCAGAGAAAGGCTTGCGATGAATTTGAACGCGCGAGTCACTGAGCCTCTTCTCCAAGGTGCTTTTTTTTCAAACGTGAGCTGCTTAACCTCTTTAACATCTTACTTAGCGTTCTGCCTTGTGATGGCAGTACTGTGTGCTCAAGTACATTTTTCCAATGTTTTCGTTAAAAACATAGTGTCAGCATTCTAGAAAAGGGCAAATAGTTGTTTACAATACTTTGAGGTAAAATCTCACTAAAATGAGCAAGAGCAAACCCAGCTTAACTATTGCCTCTCTATATCCATGTTCTAGATATTGTTTGTAATTATTATTAGTGAAAAATTCCTTAAAATCTTTTATGTGGTCATTGTGGAAGATTGTGTTTCTGTACTTAAATACTTGTTGAATTGTATTTGTGGATGTAAACAGACCAAGAAATAATTTGTTTGGCAATGTGGAAGTTAGTTGTGTTTATTATGATGCACTGTGTGATCACAAATGCAATTTGATTAGAAATTGAAAATTATAGTGTATTTTGTTGTAAAGAAAAGGCCTGAACTTTTTTTCCTTTGCAGGTGGTGACCTGGGAAAGTAAAAGCTAACATTACATGTCACTTACTGGTTTATTCTTCTTATTCTCTCTTGTATAGCGTGTTCCGCATTGTTCTGCCTTGAATTTTGAGACTAAGCTCAAGAATGAGGAGCCCTAGTCAGCCTTAGTATGCTCATATAACAAGGGTTTATAAATTGTATTCTGTCCTAATACTTGCTGTGATTCTTCCAGGGGAACCTTCATGTTCTCCGAAAATTTGACTTGAAGAGGTAGTGGAAGGACATGAACAAGTAAAAGGATTTGCTAAGAATTTGTCTCAAGTGTTATAAAACTCTTCTTAGAAGTGAAGTAGAATGTTTTCAATGTGTACTTTCTTTTTCGTCCAGCTTCTGTAGAAATCAAGTCCCTCAGAGCAGTTTCCAGTCTGCTGACCAAGCAAGACTTGTTAAAATCTTGAGCAACATGAATTACAACCTATTTAGGGTACCATATAGCTGTCTGTGACAGATATTTATTGTAGATGTGCAGTTTCTTCCTCGATGATTAAGCCTCATATATCTAGTCATACTTTGAAATGTGACTGTTTGCCAACGAGCGTAATAAAACCCCATTCTTTTGTATTGTACCAGATCTCCTGCAACCCATTCTCCAGCACTGCTGAAAGCCCAAGGATGAGATGATACAGCTTTTTCCTTTCATGCTGTCTTTTGCTCTTTTTCATATGTCTTTGCAGAGTTTAAGGGACAGGTACTTTTTTTCCATTTAAAATAATTAGTAATTTATCTTTCTGCTGCCATCAATAAAGCAGGTTATAACGTAGGACTTAGCCATTTAGAAATTTTAATAAAGTCCAAAGGCTGTAGTTAAATCTGACAGATTCTGTTTCTGGCATTTGTTTGATTTTTGCCTAGCTTTGATCTCTTTTAGTTTCAGCAGCCGTAAATTCAAGATAATTATATATAGAAAACTTTAGTGAAAACTGAAGTTGTACGCTAAGCCAGAAACATTGTGTGCTTCCCCGTTATGTATCTGTGTGGTCCTAGAGCAGGCACAAAGCGTGTTTGTGGCGCATGGTGCTCTGTCACACTGCGATGCCTGGGTTAGCTCGGATACTAGAAGCACTAAAGTGCTTTTTGGGGTGTATGGTAAGAGTCTGGGTTTTTACCAGTGTTTTAACTTCTTCGGATTGCTCATTTTTTCTTTTTTTCTTTTTCTTTTGGTTTTTTTTTTTTGATAGTGTGAGGTTGTGAATGAGTTAACTTTGACTTCATCAACCCTTATCTTGCTTCAAATATTTTGCTTACAAAGAGTGCTGTAAGCACATTAAAAAAATGTTAGAGAGAGATGACTCTTGAGTTTCTCAGTCACCTTGTGCCTGACCATTGTTTAATGTTCCTTTCCGTAGGAAGCAATTGCTGTTTGCAGCAGAAATTATTCCTCCTTCTGTTGCTTCATTCACTTAATAGAAACACTAGTTGACTTTCTTCAAACAAATTAAATGTTTGAATTTTAATTTGCACACGGGCAACCCAAGTGTTAAGCCTAAAATTGTAC